TTAATAATTTATATGTTATAATTGTTTGTTATAATTAAATACTTATAATACAGTACTTATAAATTATAACTTATAATTAATATTTAATAACTGAATTTTAAAACAAATCATTTCATGTCTGTTCACTACTATAGATGTTCACTACTACAATATACAGTTGTATATAAAATATGTACAATTAGAATCAAGATTCATAAGTTCATAATAATTTATAAATCAAATTCATGAATCTTTTATCGCAATCACTACTATTGACTATATCTACAGAATTGCCACTTTTTGCAACAGAATATGTATAGAATAAATATAACGACAATTTGATTGTATAATTGATTTACAAACAAATATTTAAATTGTATTACTTTAATAATTGATGAGAAAATACAGGAATACACGGATTGATTGCATCTTAATTGATGCATACATTGTAAAACTTGGTAACATTTGATAACTCCCTATACCGGCAATTCTTATACAATTATTATTTGAGCATACGTGCCGATCCTAAAGGATGTCCGCAATACACATCTAAGTGTACTCTAAATATTTTAATTTTCTAATTACTAATTCGCAAATAAATGAACAACATTCTTATACTGTCAAGTATATTGAGATTTTAACCCTAAAATTATGTATGTGATAATTTATCATTGATAAAACAGACAAATTAATAAAACAATATCAATTAGTGACAAGAATTTATAAATATTTGCCAATAAAATTACTTCTTAAGACTTAGATTACATACTTAATTAATAAATTAACAAATTGTACCAACAAATAGTATATTGTGAAAACATATTGACCATATTCATATAAAACTGTGAAGTTTGCCTGACCTTACTAATTTTGAAATTACTTTATAAATTAATGAAACAAATAGAAATAGTGATTATAATGAAGTGCATGTATAATATAATTGATTTATTGAACAAATGAATGACTGGCATGGGAAAGGGGTTTTTCTATACTATGCTACATATACTAAAAACCCCTTTCCCATGCCGGTCGATCAAATATTTCAATTATGTTAATAAATATGTGAAAAGGAAACGTTTGGGGCGTTTAGTGACCTTAGCCTAAGACCTATACATGTATAGCGGTTGGAGAGAAGTAGTGGTAAACTCGTGTCTATACGTAAACCATAACTACAGTACTCTATTTGTGACAACTTTTTGTTTTAATTTCAATCATATTTAACATTGATTTTTATTAATAATAACCGCAATAATTATTAATGAATAGTTTGACAGCAATGAAGAAATTGTGATGAATGTAAAAGTTGTGTAAAAAAATGTATCAAAACCGAGTGGTAAGAGTGAAGGCGTTTCCCAACACTACAGTACGGTATGTGTTGTGCATTGAATGCAATGGTATGTATGGCTGGGAATAGTGTTGTGTAAGCGCTCGACACTCGCAACCACTTTGACTGTTAAGTCAGTATTTGTGGCATTCATTGAATGCTTGGAAATGAGTGAATGACTCGACATTTGATTCAATATTAGGTCAGCTGTTATGCCATTACTATTGCCTATTATATTGACTATTGATTACACATTACCACTGATTGTGTGACCAAAACAATGGCTCAACACTATTAACAACTATTAAAACATTTACAACATTTGAAACATATTTACACATCATTTGATTGCTTTGTGTTTACATAATAATTGTGTTCACTATTAGTCTCACTATTGAACCAATGCTTGCATTTGTTGTACAATTGATCGCTAAATCTGTAATGAAATACAATTCAAATCAACACTAAAATGACGATCGATTTTAGAGATTACTTTTGGGTATGTTTTGCGTTGTTTTGCATTCATTTACTAATCATTTGATCACAATTTGATGATTCAATTGTTTTGTTTGAATCAATGGCTTATGTGTTGACAACACGTCAAACCAAAAGTCACCACCAATTGAGTGGACAATGAAATGACAATCAATTGGTTTGTGTTTGAATCGCTAATTATGTAGTCATTTGACACCACTATTCACTCAATAGAGTTAGCATTTCATGTGTTCAATGTTTGTAATTGTGGTTTACATTGAATTGATTGTCATTATTGTCAACTGTTGACTCATTTGAATTGACAATTGGATTATAACTATTGACATGATTTACGCGACTCTTTGTTTATATCATTAAATGTGATTTAATTGTGACATTTAGGGCGAAAAACACAATGGATTTGATGTTTTGTATCAAAATATGAAAAGCAATCATTTGGCGACCAAAGAGTTGACCGAATTTATTAGAGAGCGGTATGTCTTCGGCGGTCACACTATTGTCTCGCATTAACATATCATCTCATAATTGTCTTTGAATATCCATTTTTAGATCATTTATCGAAGAAAATAACTCAAAACTTTTAGTTAAACTCTCAAAGCAAGCGAACAATAACTCCATTCAAGGGTTAGTTACAAATTGTTAATTTGCTTATCACTTATGGTTGAAATTTTGAAAATTTCCATTTCATATAAATTTAGCACATTTTTACCACTTTGGAAGATATTAAAGTCTTCGGCGGAGAAGCTGTCATCACTTCACATGCAAATGGTTTATGGTTTACAAGAATTAATGAAAGAATTGCTTAAATATAGTGAAGAACAGCATAAGAAGCAAAAGCAGACAAAAACGGAAGAATTAGTGACCGTAGAAGTGGTGACAGAGCTTAAGGACACGATCACCAGTTTGAACAAAGTATTACTTTCTATCAATTATGCAATTATTATTCAATTACTTATATAATCGCAAATATTTTTTATGAAGGCTAAAGAATTTTACAATACAAAAGTAATTGAATACGAAAAACTCAAACGTGAAAATGCATCCCAAAAGGACATCGAAAAGGCCGAAGTTAGGCTCAATAAAGCATGTATGTGCTCTCTCTCTCTCTCGGTATTAATATAGTTGATATAATTAGGCACTGATTACAAGCAACTAATTGAAAGATATGCAAACGTTAAGGAGGACTACGAGAATAAGTTTGGCGTTTCGTGTTTGGTATAATATTATGCTTGAAATTGATTGAATCTATTGTTTGATATATTGTTTTCCAAATTGAATAGCATTTCCAACAAATAGAAGAACAACATATAAAACAAATGAAAGATTTTTTGATGAATTACTACCAAGTGTTAGAAAGTGGTCACACGCTTATAGGTCAGGTGCACCTGGAGTTCAAACAGAATTGTAATGAATTAACTGTGAATAAACTACTCGAACAATTTGTCACTACAAAAGGCACCGGTAGTGAGAGGCCAGGTATGACTCGATTGCAAAACTCATTGGGAAAATGTAACGCATATTTGTATACGTATTCTCTGCAGAAGTGTATCATTTTGAAGAGACAGACATATCGTCGATAAATGCAGCAAAAAATAGTGATTTATTGGATCTGACGAATGGCGACAAACTTCCCAAAAAAGAAGGTAAACATAATTATAGTCGTCATATGAAAAGCAAACCCTATTCCCGACGTACGGCATCTCTTCTGGATATATTCCGCGTCTCGACGACCGGCACCGGTAGTAGTGGTATGTGTGCACGTCGTGTACCAATCCATGCCATTACTCCACATGTATTAAGATATTTAACTCATTTTCATTTATTAGGCAATTGTAATGATGTTATTAATAGTAATAAGATATGGGAAACATATGATGCCAACTGTCCCCCCAATCCCCTAACCAGAGATCATCACAAATCTTCCCCAAACATCAAATCAGAATTTGTTTCGCGAAACAGTTTTAGAGCCTCGAAATGTAATCATTATATCATTTTCATTGTTCACAAAAACACACTTCTATTTCCTCACAAATGTTCACAATTTAGGATTCGCTTCCTTTCAACTTATTTTCAATCTTATAATCAAATGACAACTCATTTGATTACCAAATATTACTTATAAAAAGTCCGAAACGAATTCTAAATCTAAACAATCAAACAATTAGTTGGAAAACGGTTTGCTTTTCACTATTTTTAAAATCACTTGATTTGTAAATATAATGATAATTATTGAGTTTGTTTGCATGATATCTGTTGTAAGTTTTGAATTTAATAATTAGTTACTACCGATTGATTTGTTTGAATTATTTATAGTTTCTTTGCATGTATTGTGGTTTTCTTGGCCTTCAAATTCAGACGCTATCAGTAATAGTGTTGTTATGTTATGTCACTAGCGATTAGTAGTTAACCCTTTCCTAACAAACTATTATATAATTTGAAACTAATTTAAATTCTTGTAAATTAATTGAAAGGGTTTTTGAGAAGTAAACGACAAAAAGTTTTGGACAAAAAGAAGAAGAAAAAGTCAGAGATGAGTGGTTCCAAAGAAGACAATTGTAGTGTCGAAACAAAAGACAGTAATAGCGTTGATCTTCCAGTGAATGCTCCCAATTGTGAGACACCGGTTGTCGACGACGAGGGATACATAATTCGTCCCAATTTTGGCAATGAAAACAATTCAGACAATCATTTCTATTCGAGTTCTGATTCCGACTCCGAAGAAGAAAAGGAACAGAAGATTCGCATCAAAATCAATCCATTAACAAATGGAGCGCCAATTAGTGCCAGTGTTGATGAATTGATTGCCAGCGCAGGCACTCTATCCCTGTCACCCATAACTGTACATACGGTTAGTTTTAATACATGTATAACTCTTACAAAAATGCTATGATTTCTGAGCTAACACTCAAATGTATGACTAAATCTGTTTTACTGAAATGCTTTTGCTTTGAAATGTCTTATTTATCTATTAATGCATTGCCAGAGGAAAAGACCCGACGCTCTAACCTTAAAACCTAAGGTAGTGCTCATCAGTTCTCTCTTATCGTTGTTTCTGTCTTTGTCTCTATATTTGATTTCTATGACAATTATTACATTTAATAACTGATTATAACTTTCTATGAATGCGTGAACAGAATCGTCGGATCTATACGTCGAGCACATCTCCAGCTCCAGATGACAGCCAAATGAAACGATCCATTTCTGCGAATCATAACATATCGAAAGCTGAAAACGATTTGATAAGTGTTTTTAGTTCTTCGCTGTCGAGTGCGTCCACTCCGTCGGGAATCGCCGAACAAAAGCCAAACAATTCAACGAATTCTAATACAAATTCAAATGTTGTGAATAACTATTCATATAGAGGGCCGACAACAGGACCGGACAGATATGCAGCGCTCAGCGATCTCTTTACTGAGTCCATCAATGAGACGACCGCTGTATTGTCCAAAAGTATGTCGGCCTCTGTATTAGGGCCTCCAGTGTTAGCATCTCTTCCACGGCCGGCATCTAAGCGTAATCCACACACATCTCCACAGCTGTCTCACCAAAGCAGTCACAACAGCACAATCTCCCGGTGCGAAAGTGTCAGCAGCTTATCCAGCGATTTCAGAATGACTCCCATTTC